TGTGCCTCGTAGCTGTGGTTCTGACGAGGGCTTTGCGTTCTGGGTGTTTTGCAGAAAAGCTGAGGAGTATCTGCGGCTGTCGCAGGTGAAGTGCACGGGGTTAATGGCTCAAATGACGGCGACGAGCAGCGCTGTAATGTGCCTGGACCTGGCGGCGGCTTTCATGAAACAACCGGTTGACAAAGTAAGGCAGTGTGACTGGGCAGGCTGCTGCATTCTGTCTGACTCCACAAAACTGCTGTTCTCTAGTGTGTGCTGGGAGCAGGAATAGGAAATAATAACTAACTTTCCCCTAAATCCCACAGTTTGCTGTGGTAAACCTTTCACTGTTCAGTTTGAAACAGTGAAAATTGAGATCACCATCATAGTCCCTTCACTAACTGAGCTTGCTTTGGTATAGCATCAACTGAATTTGAGCTCTTGTCGTAACAAATACATTACCAATAAGGATGTTAAATTTAAGATCTGTCTCTTTTACTGTGGGAAGAAAGCAGCTGCTCTAAGAAATCTCTTACTGTAGGGGTACCTGTAAACCTCCATCTGTAAATCTGCCAGGTGAACAACACTGAGCTGTCAAAATAATGCCTGGTATAACCTATTTATGATTGTCCATTTACAGCAGAGGAGAATTTAATTGGACCTGACTCCATGAAAGTGTTGCTCATGTCTTCAAACCAGGCTTTGGTAATTTTGTCACTAATTACCTTGTGATAAAGGGGTCATGTCATGTATGGAAATGTCAAACCTTACTTCCAGTGAAACAGCCTAAAAATATCACTGCATTAAAAGATGTGGCATTCCTAGGTGGTTAATCTTTCTGTGTGCAGTGAAAACATAAATTATTCATTGCACAAATTTGTTTAATGTAGCTACTGAACTTAATGGTTGTGTTCGTTGCCTGATTAAGATGTCAGAAAGGATTCTTGCTAATTCTTGGGGCTTGTCTTTGTCTTCTTGACAGAGCTATTGTGTCAAACTCTCTGGTTTGAACAAGACCACCTACCAGAGCTCCATGAAGTCTTTGGAGTGTTTGCTAGGGGTGAACCAAAGGCTGGGGATGCGAGACTTGGCTGTGCAGTTCTGCTGCTCAGAGGCAGTGACCATGGCTTCAGAGATCCTGCAGAGGTGAGGAAGCTCTTGTGGGCACGCTGGGAACCACAAGCAGGGTTCTTAGCTCTTCAGCTGTGTAAAGAGCTGCTTGATGTTTGGAAGGGCCAGATATCTCCTACTGATTGGAGCACTGAGGGGAGTTCTCAGCACTGAAAATCCAGCCATGAGCTGGGCCACTTTTTAGAATATCTGTTAGAAAGATTTAGTCTGTGAATCTCAGCAACTGATTGTCCAACTAGGAATTTTTCAGCTGGGAATAGTGTAAAAAATATAGGACTCTAAATCTCTGTATTTGCCCATAGCATCACACTGTCATCCATTTAACTGCTGATCGTGGCACAGTTCAGAAGTAAAGCTCAGTAGAAATAAATCCTCCCTTTTGGGGATAGACATCTCTTAAAATACACATCACTCTACTGTAAAACCAATAGCTAGAACACTTCAGTGGAGATTCAGCAGAGTTAACTAAAATTTCCCATTCTGTAAGATCTGCTTTGAGCAGAGCAGTCCCTGAAGAGCTCAGTGCTGTCCCCCTGGCTGCACATGTTTAATGCTGTTAGGTCAGTGCACAAAGGCTCTGCCTGCTTGGTGGCACTTAATACAAACTGGGAAAAAGTAGCCTGGGGCAGGTGGACAATAAAAAATGACATTTTTCAGTGCTGCATATCCACTTTGTCATTTTCCATTTATAAGCCTTTCTCTCTGTAACATTCCAGGGAACAAAGAAACTGTAATGCTGCCTTCTATTGTAGGATGGATTTATGGAAAGCATCTCACTGTAAATTTTAAGATGTTAGGGAGAGCTAAAAGTGCTGTGTGGATCGGGAGCACAAGAAGTAGATTTTAGTGACTTGCCTTGCTCCAGATCCCCAGTTTAAAACACCTCTAATTCCAGAAGAGGCGGCAATCCCAACCCCCTCACCTGTATGCTCCTCTCAGCCAGTAGCAGCTGCTTCTGCTTGAGTCTTGAGTGGGTTGCAGAGGCCCAGGTGGCCCAGCAGACCTGTTCTGAGGAGAGAGGGATTTGAGAGCTTCATGTGAGGCAAATGCCCAAGTGCCCCTTGCTGTTCCCAGGTACGAGCGCAGCCTCTCGGAAGCACAGCGAGCCGACCTGGATTTCTCCAAGCCTCTGTTTGTGACAGCTGCTCTGTGCACTGCATGCAGGTGAGTGCAGCCCAGAGACCTTCTGGTGAAATGAAAAACCTGCTGACACACCAGCCAGTGCAGCAGCTCCTTCACTCAGGGTCTTGCTTAGCATGTCCTGCTGCCCTGCTCCTGCAAAGCTGGAGCAAACCAGGCCTTTCCTCATAGTGAAGTCTTCAGTGTGCACTGCACAAAGCAAAAACTTACCTGGCTTCTGGTGAAATGCTGCTCAAGGTGCAAGAAGGGCTTCTGAGCACCAAGAAGCAGCCATTCTGAAGAAGGAAAAGCCCCAAGAGCTACACCATCCCATCATGAGGGTGCTGCAGCATTTGGGAGGTGGCTCTGAGAGCTGTAGGCCCATGTCAGCCAAGAGAGGTGTGTGACTCAGCCAGCACTTGGGAAGAATTTGCTTGTATATAAAGATGTTCCTCCCTCAGCATTACACCTTGTGACAGTCTTATTCAGAGTACAGGTGCTGTGTAGTTGCACAGCTCCTCACAAGGGCTCTCTTGACACATTCAGTCACATTCAGCCCTTTGTTGCAGTGGCATTTTGTCCTGGTTTCCCTGTACCTTTTCCTAAAACAATTCCTTATGTTATGTAAGTTGAATTCACCCTGAGTTTCAATTGAGCTGTATTGACTGAGTAGTGCAGGGGTCTGGTTTTTAACCAGATTTGTTTCTGAGTAACACAAGGATAGGTGGGACAAAAAGTCAGGCCTGCCTTCCTCATTCTCACAGGCAGTGTGGGTACAGTAATTACCACCTCACCTAAGTGATAGTCGCTGGAGTGTTGCTTTGTACAGAGATAACTTTCTCTTGTAGGTGTTTGAAGCTAAAAGTGGACAAAACTAAAATGGTGGCTACATCTGGAGTGAAAAAAGCAATATTTGACCGGCTGTGCAGTCAGCTGGAGAAGATAAGCCAGCAGCTCAGCAGTAAGTTTTTGGCTTTGGCCTCAGTGCCCCATCCTGTTCCACTGGTGATTTCAGTCTGATCACTTTCAGCTGTCCCCCTCCAGCCAAATCTGTCTGTCCATTCCATTCCAACATGTTTTCTGCAGCCCACTTCCACTCCCAGTCCTTGCTTCTGGAGAAGTTGCCATAGCTTAGCAAGAACAAAAATAGGGAAAAAGTGGCAAGGACAAAAATAATATTTTCCTCTCTTCTCAAATGCTCACTGCTCTTTCCAGTCTTTGCTGCTGCAATTTATTCCTTGCTTCTCCCATACTACCTGACCTATCTTGGATTCCTCCCTCTTGCCTGGTTTCTGCCTCCTGTTAACATGGCAACGTGGCACACAAGTTACCACAAACATCTTCTCAGGCTGACTCACTCCTGTGCTTTCCTTTCCCCCACTGCAAGATTAACAAGCAGAAGCCTTGCTGCTGTGCTACCAACTCAGCCATTCCCCGGCACCACCCCTCCTCATACACTGGGCAGATGTCAGGAATATTTCTTGTCCATTGTTGAGCCTGCAGCTCTCTCTGCTCCCTTTTGTGGGGGAGAAATACAATATGTGCCCTAATGTCCTTGTATTTCTGCTGCCTCCTCTTTCTCCTTTTTCTTTTCCCAGGCTTTCATTTTTTACTTTCCCATGAAAGTTATGCTCTCTCACTGTGTCTTCATTCCCTGATGTTTTCTTCAACATGCTGCCTGAATCTACCCCAAAAGCTGCTACTTTCTCATAGGCATGTGCCCTGTAAAGACCCAAACATTACCCAAGCACTAAAGCAACTAAAGAGAGCTGGGAATTTCCAGAAGAATTCAGGGAAGAGTGTGCATCTGTACACCTGCACAGCCTCTTGCCTGTTGTGGGTATCTATGAAAATAGTGGGGATGGAATAGAAGGGAAAGAAATAATTGATAATCCTGCCTGAGTGACCTGGAAGGGTAGCAGTGCGGTCCAGGGCAATGAACATGGTGGATCATTGTGGTTACCAATGCAGTAGCAGTTTGCTGCTAATTAGCAGCCTGCTAATTAAAGCAGCCAGTCAGTTGAAGTGCTGGCACCTCTTGTAGAGCTTGAGCATCAGTCAGGACCAGGGAACTGCTCTGACTGGACAGCAGTACTTGTGGAAGGTGGCACTGCTGTCCAAGATTCACATTTAAGCCACCCTTGGAGCCCCAAATACCATTCAAATCAAAGCAACTTACTTGTTTTTTAGAGGCTGTTCCAGTGGCTGCAGAGACACCTGAGAGCTTGCAGAGCACCCTGGAGCAGTGTGAGCAGGAGGATGGTGAGTTGTGTTTAGCTGTGAGAGACAATCACCTCCCTGGAGTGGCTCTGAGCTTTCCTGCTGCCCATGTTGGAGCTGTGTGTGTGATGGGCCATGGTGCTCTCAGGCCTCTGTGGAGCACAGAGAGCTGGCAGCAGGACACAGGGACCTACCCTGGATAGTGCAGTGGAAGGAAGGACAGCTGCTCTGTGCAGACACACAGGTGACTGTCCCTGCAGGTGAGGGGAGCAGCACCCACAGGATCAGACAGCTGTGCTGTCCTTCCTGCTGTCTGTCCCTCTGCTCACTGCCTGCCATCCCCAGCAGCATGCTGCCCATGATGGCCTCTCATGGGCTCTCTTGTCTTCTCACAGGCTCTGAAGAGGATGAGGAACTGCCATGTAAACAGCCAAAGACTGAAACGAATCAGGACTATGAGGAATGGAAAAAGAAAATTCTGGAAAATGCTGCTAAGGCACAAGAGACAAGGAGCAGTGACTCTGTAATGCCACCCAGCAATGTAACTGCTGCTTGCTCTTGATTTTAACTCTCCCTCTGCTCTAACAGGAGATCCAGTAGCATGTGAATGATGGCTGCCTGGCAGACAGCTGATTTTATTTAGGTTTTAAGTATTTAAGAATGTTATTTTTAATAAATGACACCATGGAGTGGTGGGATTTTACAGGAAGTGTGTGTGACTGCTCACAGGCATTAGGGGTAGAATAGCTTCCTTCTCTTGCTGCAAGAAGCAGATAACATTCTAATGCTACTTCCAGTGTAAATAAGTTATAAGTTACAGGCCCTTGGGCCCCTGGCTGGAAGCAGTCAGTGAAACAAGAGGAAGGGGACTAACAGTGCCTTGTTAAACTGCAAAGCCAGCAGAGAAATAAAGCCTTATTTTTTAGGTTTTTTCAGGTTTTTAAATAAATATTGTTCAGTCAATGAATTTGATTTCTTTTCTTGTGTATAGGAATGAAATCTCTTGTGCTTTTGTAAGGGGTCCCAAATATTCCAAGAAACAACAAAGGTACTGGAAAGAAAAGCTTTGTATTATGACATCATCTTGGCACAGGTACTTGGAATGCAAAATAAGAAACATGGAGATGTCTGTGCCTTAAGAATTAAGATATCCAGAGGAAAAGGATGTTGAGTGGGCAACAGATTTTTTGAGTCTCACAGTCATATGCTTAGAGAAGAGGCCTTTGTTCCATTTCTCTTGCATGTTTTCTGCCTGGCCTGTATCTCTGGACCCACCCAGAAATACTTTCAGGTTTGTTTGGCAGCAGGGCTTAAACCAATGCTGATGAATATTCTTGTTCCACTTCCATGAAATTTATTAGTATTAATTCAGAAATATACAGAGCAATGAATACAATGACATTCAGCATGCAGAAACACTGTGGAAGGAAAACATGAACAAAAGTGGGCCTTCATAGAAGGTGATAAATTATCAAGATTCTTCTCTGTCCCAATTCTGGAAATGCTGCAAATAAAGTCAGGACTATGCAAAGTGAGAAGCACTTGAGTGGAAAAAATAGCTAGACCAGAGTAATGCAGTCTTACAAACCTCATCATTAGCAACCAACACTTCTGCAAATTCAAGGGGTGTCAAAGTCCATAAAGTTCAAAGGAACGTCACAGGTGCCTTTGCTGGAAAGCTACTTTCAGTAATACTAGTTTCCATTTTTCCTAAGAGCCCATCCAGTTCACACTGAGTTTTGCAAAATCCAGAACAGAAAATCACAGGTTTAATAAATAATATTGTACTTTTATCTGAGAGATTCTAAGTGGCTCTCACTCTATGCATAAGAAAAGAGTTTAAAATCCAAAATAAGTTAATATTGTGAAGAAGCAGTTTATTGTTCAAGAGCTAAATGAGAGAGGCAAAAAGGGCTTCAACCTCCTAACTGGACTAAAGGCAGAGTCTGGCAACACACTGTTTCCCTGTCACTGAACCTATCAGAAATGAAACCTGTTTTGCATGTCACACCATACCAGCTTCTCATACTGCATTAAAATTTCCAGAGGAGAAACAAATCCTCAAACTAGAACTTAGCAATGTAAGTGCTGCAGTCATGGACAATGAAAAGCACTTACAAGTTTTAAAAACATAAAATCTCTGTAACTCTCCTCTTTTCTGTACAACATGAGGTCTTTTTGCATAGACCCAACAGTCATTAGGTGATTTGTATGCATGGCAGTTTCACACGTCTTCCAGAAGTTCAGTCAGTTCAGCTCAATTCAACTTGCCCTAGGAAACAGCAGCAATGGACTGACTTAAGTTACCTCAAAAGCCAGGGTTCCTCACAGTTCCCAACTATGCAGTGACTATTTTTTAAAGGAGATTATAGAATAATAAAAAACCAAAACAACAAACCAAAACCACCCAAGGTGGAGTTGCACTAAAGCATCTTCATGTTGTGGGAAAATTACCTTTTGGAAAGAAATAAAGAAGAAAACAATGTCTGTGTCTTTTGTTTAAGTAACAAACACCTGAGGGACAAGTTGTGCCACTGTGTGGCAGTTCTCTAAAGCTGGTAACTCACAAACATCAGTCAGGGAAAAAGTCTTTAGAGATCCCATGCTTGGTGTGAGAGACCAGAAAACTGCCAGGGGTTTTCTGCTATAGACACACCAACAATACTCTGCAGAGCCAAAGCCTTCAGCAAGAAGTCAGCCCCAGTAATAGCCACGTTTTTCCACCACTCTATAGAACAACTAAAAACTTGTAAAAGCAAACAAACAAAAAAAAAAGCTTCTGCATTTAGAAATCCTGTGTTTCTTCCTTAAGGTTCTTCTGGAACCACAGCACTAACACACAAAATAATTGAGGAAGACAGTCCCAAAACCTTAGGTTACAAAACAGGGATAGAAATGTTTGGAGACACTGAGTCCTCCTTCCATGGCCTCATGTCCATCTCCAGGAGTGGAGGAGGTTCACACAAGCTCATGCAAGCTTGACAGACATACTCTGAAATCTCTTCAGCCTGTTAGCAGCAGCCACCACATAAAAGTGTTTCTGTGAACAGAACAGAACAGTCCAAGTGTGAGTGAAACCAAGGCAAAGGAACTTTTCTGCAGCTGCCAGGGATTTCTCTTCCTGGTAAACCCATTTCCCTGCAGTGACCCAAGCTTGTGTGGGCTGCAGTGGTTCCTGCACAGCACTGTGAGGTTCTGCAGTGTTATTATGAACTGTAAATGTACAGGGATAGGTCTTTAGATTGTGTCATCTTTAAAATCCAAGTGCAGAAGTTTGCCAGCAAGCAGTTGCAGTGCAGGACTGAAAGAAGTGCAAGTTGCATTTCCTTGCCAAGGAAATGCAACTCCCCAGTGACAGAAGAGAAGGAAATGATCCTGAGTTTGCCTCACAATTCCAAAGGCTTCCTTCTAACAAGATCACCGTGTGCACCTTTTAGGATCAATTATCTAGAATCAAATAGAGACTCAAACACAAATTATTACCTATCACTTCATAAACACAGTTCAGAAGGAGCCTGGGGTTATCAGTAAGATCCGGCAGAGTTCTCTCGATGGGTTTAAGCCTAGGTATGTTTCCTCTCTCCCACACTCCCATTCTGCAGAGGGAGGCACAAACTGCCTTTAGTTACATCCCCACTCCTTAGTGACAACAGATCAATGCAGCTGCTAGCAATGGAAAAGTGTAAAGACAATGAAATTTTAACATTAAGTAGCATGTGAAGCCTCTGAACATGTAGAAAGATGTAAAAAAACTTCAAAACACCAATCAGCGTGAAAACTGAAACCAAACTTACAAGAAATAGAAGCATGACCAAACACTTCATTTACAGGTAAAAACCGACCTCATAACTGGTACTCACAGCCAAGGAACCTGTGGGCACCAGGGAGCCACCACACCGGAGGGAATGGCTGTGCCTGCGGTGTGATTTCCCTGTGGAAGCAGAATTATTTACCTTCCACTTCCTGTGGGCCATGTAGCTCTGCAGCAGCAGCTGCGACTTGAGGCGGAGCTTGCACTGCTGGGCCTTGGCGGGCAGGTCCGAGAGCCACTGGTGCTTCAGGCACTGCGTGGCGCTCATCCGGCAGCTGCGGGGAGAGGGACAGAGCTCCGTGAGAGCCCGGCCGGCCCTCTGCTCCCCTTCTCAGGACCCCGAGAGCTCCGTGACACCCGGCCCTCTGCTCCCCAGAGTTCCGTGAGACCCGGCCCTCTGCTCCTCGAGAGCTCCGTGACACCCGGCCCTCTGCTCCCCGCGATCTCTGTGAGAGCCCGGCCCTCTGCTCCCCGAGATCTCTGTGAGAGCCCGGCCCTCTGCTCCCCTCCTCAGGGCCCGGGCTCCTCTTTGTTAGTGTCCTGGGTGACGTTCTGATGCTTGTATCGCCATCCGTGTGTTCTGTTTATGCTGGATATCATGTTCTGTGCCTCCAAGACTGGCTCTGAACAGTGAAAGTTTTGGTTTTCTTATCAGCCGCTCCCCCACGGCTGGCGGGACACAGACGGGACAGTGCATTAGTGCAGCTTTTGCTTTTCGCTTTGCTCTTGCTTCTGCTTTGCTCCTGCTTTGCTCTCGCTTTTTGCTTCTGCTCATTAGTCAGTAGCTAAGCAGTCCAAATTTTTCCCTGGACTGTTTCTCCTTTCCCTTTTTTTGGATCTGGGTCCTGGAAACATCGAGAGTTTGCACCCTGTGGCCTGCAGCAGCTACCCCAGTGCCAGAGGGACTGATAACAGAGCGACCACCCCCAAGAGAGACTTTCTGAATTTGTCATCTTTTTTAGAGTGGTGACAGAGTGATGCCATCCGGTATTGTTCATTTTGTGTGCTGGGGGGTGCTGTGCCTGTTAAATAAACAGGTTCTTTCCACTTCTCTCTGAGGAATCCTTCCCAAACCGGCTGGGGGAAGGGCCCGTGTAGGTTTGCTCTCTGGAGGGGCCCCATTTTGGGGGTTTTCTCCCAAATTTGCCCTAAGCCAGGCCAGTTAGGGATAAAGGAACTGCCGCGAATGAACGAACACGGTACAATGCCGGTGCCCGGATCCTGCCAGCATCCTGCGCTCTCCAGCAGGAGGGGTGAGCGGGATGACGGACTGACTGCCGCTGCCTCGGCAGTGCCTCGCTTGAGCTGGGCTTAGGTTAATGTATCACTTCGTTATGCAAATTCAGAACTTTGCTAACAGAAAAGTAACATTTGTGGTGTTATCTGTCTGTCCTGACAGCACTAGCTGTGCCTCGTAGTTAAAAAGCTTATTCTGTGCCTCATATTTAAAAAGCACTATTGTCTATTCACCCTAAACTTGGATCAAGTTAAGCATACTTTAATATCCTGACATCCAACAATGGGCCCAAATGCCACAGCCTATCCTAAAAGGTTTGGGAAGTATATGGTAACAGAGGAAATCTTAAGGTAGAGCTGTTGAAAACAAAGTTTAATTTGCCTTTTTTCAAATCAAAAGCCTATGTCTAACTGCTGAGCTCTGAGCTGGTGAAAAGACAACTCCTGCCTGCCCAGCCTGATTTCAGCAGTCAGGGAGGGAGGGAGGGGCTGCAGGTCCTGCCCAAGGCCAGAGCCAGGGTCCCAGCAGGGCTGCAGGAGAGCAGGGGCTGCCTCACCTTGTGAACAGCAGGGCCAGCTGATCACTGCTCTGCCACTCACTGACAACACTTCTCTCACATACTCACTTCATTCACAGCTCCTAACCAGAATTGAAAGGTGCCTCTGGACACCCTAATCCCATTGCACAGAAGAACTGAAGACTCCAAAGTTTACAGTCTCACAGCAAATCATCATTACAGTCTGAGAAAAAATCCTTAGATGTCTCCTGCTGGCAATATGCTAAATTTCACTTAATTCTTTGTTTTTCATAGCAACCTATTGTTCAAAAGGGAATTAGTACTAGAACTGATTTGTCTGATTTAGGTAATGATCTGGAAGTTGTTAATATTCTAAGCATTCCTTTGAATTCCCCTCAAACACAAAATCTGTTTTACTGTATGCATCATTTCCTGATTTGATTAGTTTTGTATCACTACTCAGCAAGAGAAAAATTTCTGTTCTCCCAGCCAACCCCCCAGCCATGGTCTGACATCAATATGATCCTCATTCTCTGTATTGTTTCATATCTGCAATCACTTTGGATCTCAGTGGAGCCAAGAATGAGAAGCCACAAGCAGAGAAGTCCCAAACGCTCCCTAATATCTCCCAAAAGCCTGTAGACCACTTTAGAAGAGAACAATGCACATTTTCACAGCTGCAGCTTCCATTTATCCTCCACGGCATTCAAGAGGCATTTTTGCAATTTCTGTCAAGGCTTGTGACAGTCCAAACCAACAATAGAAATAGTTTTTGCTCAGAGAAGCAAAAGCTTTAGAGACAGATTCCTATACTGCAAATCCTTCCAGATTTCCTGTGTTCTGCCTGTATTGATGCTACTGTGAAAAGCAACTTTTTTCAGTCAGGGTGCACAGACACTTTGCTTTAAAACAGGGGCTTCTGAATCACTGAGGAACTGCCCAGAGCCAGCACACAAAAATGTCACACAGCAATTTCTCATTGTTGGCTGCAATCCAAACAACTGGCTGGTAAGAATTTAATATCACTGGTGCCACTGTTCTCACAATCAGACCCAGGTACCTTTTCTCCTTCACAAGCAGTCTGGAAATAAAGTCTTTGGCGTCCTCTGAGAGCTGTTCAAATGCTTCTGCATCAAAATCCCAGCTGCAATTGACTACATAATTCATGGTCTCAGCATCAGTCTCTCCCAGGAATGGGGACAGGCCACTAAGCCTTAAAAAAGAAAGAGGGGGTGGGGGAGAAGAGCAGTTATCATATGCAAGGTGTGGTTTTCCTTCTATGACTCCTCTGCTTTGTAGCTGTTGTTATCTTAAGGAGGGAAAAAGCTCTCAGCTATGGAGGTTTCCATTTCTCAGTCCCTGCCAGGATAAGGCAATAGTTTGGGGAGATTAAGTGCTGTAATTTAGTGTTACCCCCTAGCAGTTCGCTCAGGTCAGGGAGCACCATTAATAGATCCCCAAGGAGTGGATTCAGTGAGGATTTAGGGACATGCTTCAGTGCCTTCCCAGCTAGGAAAGCTAGAGGGACTCAAGAGCTTTCCCAAACTGGGGGCCATATCCTTATGTGGCTTGAATTAAACACAATTCTGAACAATAAATTACTTTTTACAGTTAGTCTCTAAGCCCATCTTTATTGCTTCCACCATTTATTACTTCATTCAGTTGGGTTTTGCCTAACATACAAATTTAAACCAGAAATGGATCCAGTTCACAGAAAATGTCTGTGAAAGATTCTGGGATGCAAAACAAGCTCATCAGAAGGCAGAGACTTTGGACAGACAAGCTGTCCATGGTTGCCATCCAGATGTCAGGGAAAAGTTTTAGCCCTGTTCAGGACAGGTCATTTCTCAGACCCATGGCCAAGCACAGATCATATTATCCTGAGCAGATGCACACCAAGTGTAAGATTATAAAATGATCAGATTACAAATTTAAAAATTAATTCAAGTCCTCAAAAATTAAAATTCTCACATATTTTGGGCAACTTTTCAGAGTGAAAAAAAGACCTGGCCCATTTACCATCACCTTATCTAAGTAAGATGATAAGGGAGAAGAACATTTACATATTTATCAAAGGCTCATTTGTTGTTTAGACCTTTGGACACACAGCAAGGTGCCTCTGTATGGAAAGCTGGGGGTTTTAGCAGAATTCCTCAGGATTGGTCACAGCCAGGGGGGCTCAGGGGCTGCTGCAGCCTGGCCTGGCCTGCAGGGCCCTGGGCACTCACAGCATGTATGTGATCACACCCACGCTCCACATGTCCGTGGGGAAGGACACAAAGTCGTAGTTCACCACTTCGGGAGCCAGGAACTCCGGAGTCCCAAAATTCACCTTCAGCTTCTCACAGGGTTTGTACCTGTACCAGGAGAAGAGCCATGAGTCAGGAGCTGGGAGCTCATCCCCCAGGGAACAGCAAGGCACAGCTTTGGGAGTGCTGGCAGCCAGGGCAGCTCTGGGGTGACCTCAGGGAATATTCCATCATTGTCCCTCTGCCAGAGCAAAGCCACGAGGAAGAACAAGGACACTAAACCCTGCAAAGGGCTCCCCTAAAGCGTGGTAGCCAGACACCACAGGATGCTTTCCAGATGTTGTCCAAAACCCATAAAACAAACAAAGCAGTTTTGACTATACAAGATTTGGAGGGCACTGGATTAGTGGGATGTCCCCAGCTACAGCTCAGGGTGAACATCTGCACCACAGATATAACTCAATAGAACTGAGGTGGGACTGCAGAGGATTATTTGGGCTTGGGAACAAGGAACAGTGACCCCGTATGGGGAAAATGACCCTGTTCTTTTTGCTACTGCTAAACAGGGAAAGGTTACAAAACTGAAGCAGTAACAATTGCCACTGAGGGCAGCTGGAGCCACATCTGTGTTCAGACAGAACAAACCACTACAGCATGCTTGGAAATCCCATTTTCCTGGATGATCTTGTTGTAAAACTGCCCTCCCAATTAAAAATCCAACCAAACAAAACCCCAAACTCAATGTACTTTTTTTTTTTTTCTTCAACAAGTATTTTATGGAAACAAAGTCCTTGAACAGACACCTCTATACAAACACATAAATATATATATGCATGAATGAAACAGCTTTTAGCTGAAGAAAAATCTCAAAGGATTTAGAAAATAATTAGGGAAATATTATTGTTCTTACTGTCCTAATAATAGTAGAATTAATTCCTTTTTATTCTAGGGCAATTGACCTATGCTCTCACTGCTTTTCTTTAAACTCATGCAAGCAAAATAAAAGAATGGACAGAATTTCCTATTTTTCTGAGGGTTTCCTATTTCACATGAGATGGCTCAAACATGCTTTTTCTTTCATTTTTTTTACCTTCAATCAACTTAACTACTTGAAGAGTTTAGCAGATAATTTCTACAATTAGAACCTGCACCATGAAACCCTGCAGTCATGAAGTCTCTGGGAGCCTTCACAGAGTCCCTAGAGTAAAAGCTCTACATGGGGAATAATTTTGAGATAATTAGAACAGTAGTAAAGCTTTTTTGAAGAGAAATGTTATTTGAAAAAGCAATTAGATAATTAATGTACACAGCAGAAAACTCATGCCTGCAAAAGCAAAATGCTTAACTCATTCACACAGAATTATTACAGAGCCATCAAAACACAAACCCCCCACCAAAGAACTACCAGAAATATGTCAGAGGTTTGGTTTGGTGAGTTTGATTTGGTTTTGTTTTTTAATATAATTCACAACTGAACTTTCTTACCTCCTTGCTAATCCAAAGTCAATAATTTTAATCTGGTTTCCTGTGTGATTTACACATAGGATGTTTTCAGGCTACAAAAAGAGAAGAGGGTATTTTGAGTTAAATGTTTGAGAGAGATATCTAGCAAAAAATAGTATAAAATTCCCTGCATAAAAAGCTACAATGCACCCTTTTTTTTTTCCAATGAGAATGTTTTTCAAGGTGGGGATGGGGGGTGATGGGGTCCAGCAGCAGAACTGTCTGTGAGCCAGCCTGGTTTAATGTCATTTGTGTAAGGTGCTCTATAAACAGGCAGGAAAAAAACAGTTTGTATTTCTGTTTAACAATATCCATTATAAAGGGACTATTAGGAAAACATTGCAATTTTGCTGCAGGTTGGTTCCAGGCAGTAAAAGATACAAACTATAGAAGATGATTGAACAGGTATTTGTACACTGTTAAAAAGGGTAGGGGAAATAGAGGGAAGACTGTGGGCATTTCCAGCCAAGGAGGTTTTGGGTGGGTTTTTTTAAAATCCATGATAAAAGGGAATTGTTTAATGCTACAGAGAATGAAAAGCTTCTGATTTAAGAAAAGCAAAAGCCCAGAATCCTGATGATTCCAAGCAAGCTACTGAACAGACACTGGAAAAAAAGTAATCAATCTCTAAGGCTCCATTCATTGCAGCCATTAATTCTATTCCTTTATGACATGACTTCATGAAAAGAGAAATTATTCCTCAGTGATCAGAAACTCTGTGGCGCCTAAAGCAGCCCCACTAAAGTGTGGTGGTGCTCACAGGGGTCTTAGGATGAGGGAAGAGATGAAAATGTTGACTCCATGTTTCAGGAGGCTTGATTTATTATTTTATTATATATATTGTATTAAAACTATACTAAAAATATATAAGAAAGGATTTCATCAGAAGGCCAGCTAAGAATAGAAAAAGAAGAATGATAACAAAGGCTTGTGACAGTCCAAACAACCGGACTGTGATTGGCCATTAATTAGAAACAACCACATGAGACCAGTCACAGATGCACCTTTGCATTCCATAGCAGCAGATAATCATTGTTTGCATTTTGTTCCTGAGGCCTCCCAGCTTCTCAGGAGAAAAAATCCTAAGGAAAGGATTTTTCATAAAACATGTCTGTGACACTAAAGCACAGAGAGCACAAACAACTGACCTTCAGATCTAAGTGGAGAATGTAATGCTGGTGCAAGTAGTGGACTCCTTCACAGATCTGCTTGGTGAACAGGATGGCATCCAGCTCTGTCAGGTGGTAATTTTCATCTGTGATCCGGTCAAATAATTCCCCACCATCAAGACTAAAATTTCACACAGAAAACCATTAAAAACCCTAAAATATTACATTAGCCCAATTTAATTCCACGTTGGGAATTAGGCTCTGTAGTTGAGGGTCCTAACGAAACATCCAAAATAAAGTATGTATCAGCAGCCTCAGTGACTTCAAGAGACTTATTTCTCTTAAAATTAGGTATCAGTCTAAATTCAGAAATAGGAAAGGTGGCACTAGTATTTGGGGCATACATGTCAAACCCAAACCCACATGACCTGGGGATCCTATGGGACCTGGAGAACTTACAGGGAGTACTACAGTGTCTGTTGTTCTCTCATCTTACTTGTCATGGGAAAATAAGTCTTCAACCTACAAAATATACTAAATGGAACTTCTCAAACTGAAAGCTGTTTCACATGAGCTGACAGCTGAACTTAATTCTGCACAGAAGAGAAAATTATTCAGAGATAAAGCTCTGACAAGCTTTTAACCTGAAGAAATTACCTTTAAAACATTGGTTTTTTCCTTCTGAAAGTGAGATCAACTCTCTCTTAGGCTGGGAAACCACTCACTTCTTAACAGCTCAGAATTATCCCTCCCTATTTGCTTTAGTGACCTGAGAAAACCCAGACATCTGACAATTCCTGAGATCATTGAAACTTACTATTCCATTATCAAAGTGATGTTATTTTTTGCTTCAAAAGCATCATAAAGCTGGATCAGATTCACGTGATTTAACTGGTTCATGATGTTAATTTCATTTTTTACTTCCTCCTGAAAAAAATAACAAAGTAACAAAAAATGAGCAAAATACACTCCTTGAATTCCACCATACCAAAACAGAATTATTATTTATAAAGGCCAACAGCTACAGCACAGATCTCAAGGGGACTGGGGGTTTGATCATGAACACAGGAGATGATGAAGAGTCCCAGCAAGCCCAAGATTTTGCAGCATTTGATGGTACCCAAGGATGAGCTGCCCCTCATGGGCAGCTGAGGGCAGTGGTGCTGGCCCTGGCAGGGAGGGCAGGGGCAGAGCTCCCAGCAGTGGGGTTACCTTCTCTTTGGCTCCTTTCACTTTGATGATTTTGGCTGCCAGGTTGAGCCCCGTCGATATTTCCGTGCACTTGTGGACCTGCCCAAAACGCCCCCTGTGGATACCAAGGAAAAGATGATGGGAAAATGGGAAAGAAAGATGGGAAAGCAGCTCAGCACAGAAACCTCTCCTGGAACTATTCTTATCATGAGCAAAAATAGCCCAGGACAAAGTGAACGGGGTCGGGTGGCCAGCAGCATGGAGCTCCTCTTTCTCTCAGCTTATGAAGGATTAGGTTTATCTTTCCAGCCAGCTGTTCAGTGCTTACATTAAAATATTAAACCCCACTGGTCCTGCTGAGGTATGATGGCCTGGCCATGCTCTGGCTCCCTTCTGTAACTGGACCCCCTTGCTGTCCTTCAGGGATATGTTAGTGGGTCTATTAACAAGGATATTTCTGTCCTGATCCCAGAACTTTTTAAATGACCATAAGACCAGTAACTGTAGCCACTACACAGCCTGCATTTCTGGCATGCTGTAAATTCTCCCCCATGTCATGCAGATATGTTAATGCCCCTTGGGATGATTCCTCACCACCATCTTCCCTGCTGTTGCATCACATTGCTTATACTTATTAAGCCATATTTGTATGTGGATCAATGTGTAAATCAAGCCTTCTTGTCACATAAGTAAGGATACAGGAATACAAAAGCTGAAGCAGCTGCAGACTTCCTATGAGTGAAAACTAAACATAAGGTCAAAATAATTATAATTCTTCCTTAGTTTTCTTTAATGTGCAGCTCAGCACAGAAAAAAAAAAAAAATTGGAAGCTGCCTGGCCTAATGGGCTTTGCTGACTTTTCAAATGCTCTGAATCTTGTGTGCCTTAGGGGTACAGGTTCTTTCCACAACATTGAGGCCAGGATTATTAAAACAAATGAAAAGAACAGTCACCAGGATGGCAGTGAGGCACATGAACATGGGGCTGGGGCAGAAACCATCCATCTAAGGGACATCCTTGATGCAGGAGCAGCTGTGTTCACCTAAAGGGCTCCAGGATGAACCCACCCCCTGTGTGTCCCTCCCAGCCAGCCCTCGGGGGCAGCTGCAGGGCCCCAGAGCACGGGGACAGGCACACTTACCCGCCCAGCACCTGGTGCCGGCACACGGAGTAGCTGGCGGTCACCTCGGCTTGCCGGACGCTCACCACGCGGTGCTCGAACGGGGCTGGAGGAGAGGGGCTGTCATCTGCAGGGGATACATTTGCTGTGACACTGCTGCACTCCCACTGCCCTGCTCCTCTCCTCACACCAGGGACTGCATCCCTCGGCTGTGAGGGGCTTTCACTGCTAAATCCCTTGTACAGACAAGGATCACAGTCCCAAAGCTGAGATCGGCATCCCACCTCCTGAACCTCCACTCTGTTTTTTTAACCCACTGGACACCTTCAGGAGACCATCATCTTAGTTTATGCATTAAAAGAAAGGGCCACCAGAAAATACTACCTGAAAGTTTGAAGCAAATTACACTTATCTTTTAATTGTTACATGACAGCCAGAAAAAACAGCAAAAATACACAGCACTGAGGAATGAGGACAGTGATTGATAAAATCATTGGGTTTCTCTTAGCAGCAAGAATCTTGCAGACAGTTTCCAAATTAAAGGTGCAATTATTAGCATTACAAACACTAAGTTTAGTCTGTTTGTGGTAAGGTAAATTAGTTAACTGTGATCACTTAATGTCCAAGGTTTTCTAGGGTAAAGCTTCATTAAACCTATTTTTTATGTCTCCCATTGAAAGCAACTTTATAATTAATCTCCAGGAATTTCAGGCTGCAATTTAACATGTATTCAACTCATCTCTAGCCCCTGCTCAGAAAGCCAGAGCAGTCAGTTCATCTGCCCATGTCTGTACACTCTGCAACACACACACACATGTGCTGCCAGGACAGAGCATTCCCTGAGACAAAGCAACCAAGTGTTCCCTCAGGAACCCAGAGATCCTGGCCAATAACACAACAGGCCACAACAAGAAGCATTTCCTGCAGTACTTTCTGTGCTCTGGATCTCCATAGTTGCTGAAGTATGCTTGGTTTGCACCTTCTATCTGAAGGAACAAATGCTGCATCTAAAGAAAATGGATTTTTTCAAAATTCTTGTACTTCTCATCACACATACACTTCATGCTATTTTATTTTAAATTATTTTTTCCCCAAAACACACTTTAAAAGGAAAAGTTTACTATTAAAAGAATCTGTGAATTGTTATTCACATAGTCAAAGGTACCCAATGCAAAAAGCCCTTGAAGTGTAAGACATGGGTGTTCTACTGAGCACTGCTCGTGCTCTTGCTTGTCCGTATAACAGGCAGGAATAGCAAAAATCCTCAATGTACAAGTTTCAAGAGCAGCTGTGAGCAACTTACCAATGATTTCTCCTTGAGTGGGAAGAGCTCTGACAGCTGCCAGAGACTTGGTTTTCTCTGGTGCCTCTCCTGTACCCTGCTGAGCATCATGTCTGCTTCCCCCTGCAGTCTCAGATCCCCTCCTCTCAGACTTGGTATCTGCTGGAGATTTTTCTGCTTTTGCTGTTTCTTGATGGACTTTCACTTTTACCCCTGCATCTTTCACAGGCTCCTTTGCAGAGGTATTCTGTGAGGTTATGGGCTCACATTTTAATTCTGATTTCTCTTCAGCTTTTTCACCTGGTTTGGGCTTGCTCAGGAATGGCTTTTGCTTCCCTGTTTGAGGTGCAAGTTCATTTTGCTTATTGTCACCTTTAACTTCTGAATCTGGCTTGCAGCTGATGTTTTTAGTACTCTGTTGAAGTTTTAATTTGTCAGGCTGCTGTTTGATTCCTTTCAAGTCTGCTGGTGTGGATTTCACTTTGGAACTTTTACCTCTGCTGTCACTTACATTTCCCTCCTTGGCCATCTCAATCTTTTCTTTCATGTCGGTCATATGTACACTGATGGATATCCTGCAGAGCAAACAGGAGACATTTAATATTGATGCAGGTGGCTTGCCTGGTTTTTGCAACTTTGTGGGGGAAGAAAAATCTGTTTCCAAACCCATACATTTCTATAGTGTGGATAAAACCTAACTGTACCAATCTTGCTGGGAATGACCCACAAACACTAAGGGGAGAGCACCAAAAATCATGCTGGCTCTTTCTCTGTGTCCTCCTCTCTCTACATGTCTGCCCTTCAGCTGAACAAAATGTCTCACCCTGCAAAGAGTTAATCCCACATTTGAAAACTTACCCACTTTTTGCAATTATTACAGTTGGTCTAACAAAACACCACTCAGATAGTGATTGCCTGCACAAATGACAGGCTGATTAGCTAAATGGCTGCCTGCTCACATGGCTCTACAAATCTGATGGCTTGTGTCCTCTTCCAGCTGGCTGACCTGCACACTCAGCCATCTGGGTTTGGGTCTTCTGATGGGATAGCATTCTTTCCACAGCCTTCTCTTAAAAATCTAGTTTTGATAAACTCTCTCACTCCAGCAATACTATTTTCCTTGGCATTTTAACTACTGGAAAAGTTTAATGTGTTTTTTCCCTCTTGTGTTGCCTAAAAAGAGTGCAGGTCAGAACCAATTCTCTGTGTTCCTAAACTCTATCAAAGACATTTGAGTGATAATGTTTGAGTCAACTGTTACAGCTCCAATGTCATGAGCAGTCTGATTTGACCAAGGCTGAATTGAAACTTGTGAAGTTATAAAGGAGATTTTACACAATGGCAAATGAAGCCAGCTTCTGATGTCTGGGAGAGAACAGACCTCATTTTCACAAAGGTAATTGCCTCTTCCACTGGAGCAACCTCATTACAAAAGATGTTCTAAAAGAAAATGTTTCTGCTTTCTTAAAACAAGAGTGTGAAATGTCTGATTTTCTGCACCTTTAGCACCTGGTGCTGCTGTGGTGTGAGCTGGGAGAGCAGCTGAAGGCAGCTCTGAGCAAACACTTCCTCTGCTATCGAGACAAGCCTGAGCTCAGTGGGACTCTCGGGCACTTCTCCAGGCAGGGGAACACAATGTTCCTCTGATGCCTCTGTGTGGGCTTACAAACTTCATTAGAGCTGCATCCATTTCAGAGAGGTGTTTACCACCCTCATGTGACTTCTCACTCCAAACCATGACAATGCTGGGCTGCAGCTGCCCCTGGGGTTTACTCCCTCTTGCCTGCTGGCCTCCCTCATCCCCAAACCAAACCTGGGGCTCAGACACCACATTTGTACCCAGGAACAATGGAGGAATTCCCCACCCAAAGTCATACATACATTTCTTCACCCAAAATCATACATACATATGTGGGTGTGTATGGATGAGTGTCTGTCACCCTCACACACACATATAAACCACTTTACAGCCACCCACCCAGACAGAGAGGCACTGGCAGTTAAAATCTGCCACAGAAGTTCCATTTGTTTGGGTTTAGTTGGGAGAGGTCTTTTGGTTGTGGGGTTTTGTTGGTTTTTGTCATGGGGGCTTTTACAATTTTTAATAAAATATATTAAAATAAAATTCCAGATAAATAAGCCAAAGGAAAATGGACTATACCTATATGAAACACCTATATGAGGAAAATATTAGCCTGATAGAGAAGAATAAATGAATAATCTTTAGGTGACCAAAACACTGAAAACACTAAGGAGAACAAACACAAATTCTTTGGTTTTGTCGTACACTAATAAATATCTCAAATTCCTTTCACCCCCATGGCTATAGAAACCAAGGAGCTGAGAGGGAATGAGTGGTTTGAGTGAGTGGTTTATAACTGCCTGAGTGAGTGGTTTATAACTGCCTGAGTGAGTGGACTACCTGAGCTCCTCTGTGGTGGTCACCTTTCTGTGTCAGCACTGCCACCTCAAACCCCTGTCCCACCTGAGCCCTGGGCTGCACAGAACTTCACCCAGGGCCCCCTGAGCCTCCTGCCTTAACCCCTGTAGGGTCTCTCCTCCTCTCCCATCAGGCAGGAGCTGCCTCCTTTAATGGCCTGGCTTTCCTTTTCTCCCTTGTAACCCATGGAAAGGTTCCAGGTCCCCCAGAAAGCCACCAGCAAGGCCATTACCTGGTGTGTGTCACTTCACAGCCCGTGTCAGATATGGCCCTGGACGTGGAGGGCGCAGCCTCCCGGGACGCTGCAGCTTTGCTTTCATTCTTGCCAGGCTTCTGATGAACGAGCTGCCTGTGGCACTCAGCAGGGCCTGGGGCTCTGTCCCCCTTCTGGCCTTCAGCAGGAGCACTCTGGTTGCCTGCAGGATCTTGATGTATGAAGGGAAGACCATTGTGTTGATTCACAGCTTTGACATCGATGTCCTTTTGCTGTGGACAGCTCTTAGAGCTCTGTGTTTTGCCAGCACCTTCTGCCCCTTGCTGCTGGGCTGTCCTGTCTTTGAGCTGGGGTTTGGAGTCAGCTTTGTGGGCTACAGCACTGGAAATGTTCACCTTCTCACATGCTCCCTTGTTTTCATCCAGCTTCTTCACATTTTTTGTCTCTGAATAAAAGAATCCATTAATAAACTATCCTTGGCAAAAGTCACGGCAAAACAGAGGAGGAATAAAGCAACACACCTCTCAAAATAACCTGCAGAGTTACACTTCAAAAGATAGCATGAATCTCCCAGAAGGTTTAAAATCCTTACACCATCAGGCTGGAGCTACTACTCATGCTCATGGCTTAAAACCAGAGATTCACCTGCTCTGGTGCTTTCCAGCAGTGCCACAGATTGGACTTGGATTCCTTACAGCAAACAAAAAACCTGCAAGGCTCAAGTTCATTGTATCTAAAACCTGGAATCACTTTGTGGGCAAATATAACAGGTAGTTTAAGGCACCGCAGATCCTGCAGGACCCTCCTGATCCACACCCCTCTCCCCAGTTAGGGGGGTAGGGACAAACCCAGCAGGACTCCAAGGGACACTGAGGCACGAGACAGAGCCCACGTGCAGTTTGCAGAAAAGGATTAAAAGGTTCCCCATCACCTTCCCATGACAATGGCTGTGGTTATTAACATTCAGCAAGCCCAGATCACCAGCAAGCAAGGTTTGCTCAAAACTCTCTGTAGCTTTTGGGTCAGAATTGTGACCATTTGCTTTGTTTTTGTCACTTCCAAAGCCATGAAGCTAAAAAGGGGACTGCCCATAAGGATTCACTGACAATTTGTGAAGACAACAGCATGACAGGGCCTGCTCAACATCACCTTCACCCCTGCTGCAGCTCCACAGGCACTGACAGTGGATGCAACAGGGCAGCGCCCTGACAGATGCACCCTAAATAGGAATCTGGCCCTGACACATCAGGGAAACTTGCTGATCAAAAAAAGATATTCTAGTGTCAACACATCCCTTTTTCAGAGAGGGGGAAGAGGGAGGGCTGCTCCAGAGATATTAATGGAAAAGAACTTGTTGGGTTTGCTATGTATAGGGCCACTATCTTCACAGTATCTCCAAACAAGCTCTGCTCTCTGAATACAGTTCACTGAAACCCAACTCAAAAAACCCAGCTCTTCAGCTAAACAAAAGTGCTCCTTTTAATTTCTGTATCTTCTAGCTTTTTGTGGTGCTTGATCCTAGGGATAAATCATCTTGTGAAGGTGGTGAGAACAATTCCATTCTCCCAGTACTGAGGGGCAAAGTTACTCAGTTACATCTGAGTAATTCAGGTAGTGGGAAATAGCAGGCTATTAATTTCCAGTTTGTCTGCTGCACATTCTGGAGTCAAAGCTTGCAGCATGCCTGGAGTGATACATACCTTCCAGAGGCTTCTTGCTTTCAGTCTGGGTTCCTCTGTTACTAAGCACATGCTTAGGCTTTGCACCACTCTCCTCAGACTTATCCTTGGCCTAAGAATGACAAGGGAACACAAAAATTACAGTTGCAGCCAAGAGTGTCTATTTCCCACGAGGTTCCTGCAGCTATGGAGGCATTCAGACTGAAAAAATGGAGAGTTACACCTCTTGTGAATTATTAGTCAGTGCTCTGTTTACTTCTTTCCTCCAGTCTCTCCCTGCCTTTGCAGGCAGGCATCCTTTTAAAACAACATAACAGATTAATACATTAGCTCACTGCTTTCCAAAATTTTCACTGTCAGGGTTTTTGCCTCCTGTCATCTCTACTCACACTGATTAAAAAGTATGACATGTGAAACATGAGACAGTAGAAAAAGAAATGATGCTGTATATCTGTTGCTTTTTGGCTGGTGACAGAACGAAAAGTAATGTTTCTGAATACATTTGTCAAAACATATTTGTCTCAAGGTACCTAAAAATTCCATTATTTGACCTGATAAGAGGTGGTACCAAAAAAGAACATCTAGCTTTAGATCAACTCTTGTGTATGCACTTGATATTTCACATGTCACCTTTACAATGATTAAAAACAGAAGCAGATTTTTATCTTTAAGCAGTGTTTTCCCCCCAATTAATTTGAGAGGAGGGATATTTTGTAACAGGACCACTAAAGACCTCAGACAGCAATACATGTGAAACCAAATTGCAGCTGACTTCTGTGTAGCAAAAAGCATTACACAAAATTAGGGAAAGACATAATATTTCCTGTGGTTGACATACAGTTAAAAATCTAGTCATGATCTAGCCTCCTATCCTGATTTGTACAAGCAAATAAGCAACACAAAGTATTTCTGCAGGTAGCTGATTACAGCTGCACATCAGCCCTTCACCTGTTAGTAAAAGCAGTTAAGGATTTCATGCACCAACCCTACAGACTGAACAGAGCCTCCCCACCTCCCATTCCAAAAAACCCAAAACACCCAAAGAGCAAAAGTAGGAAAAAATCATTACCCTTTTTATTACAGCTCTAAGCAAACCTGCAACAATGACCAGGGTGAACATTATTCTGGCACAATCCTACATGCAAAGAAAGCCTTGGGTAAGTGACAGTTTAATGCTGGTGCATTTTTTCTGGTTTTTAAGTAAGAAGTTAGAGGTTTGGAACCTAGGAAGCTCAATTCATAGCCTTTTGTTGACTCCAACCCCTCAAAACTTCTTCCATAAGCATTCCCAAGGTATGCCTGGAATGCTGTCACAAACAGCTTCACCCAGAAATGCAAACAGGACCTCCCCACTCCCAGCCCAGCCCATGATAAGCAGATCCCTGGGACAAACAGCAAACGCTGCAAAACAGGAACAAGCAGCAAGTTCTTTTTCTGTGCTCCCCCTGTAACTGTGCAGCTCTGTGGGCAGGTCTGTGCTGCTGTCACAGAACAGGCTGCAAAATGCAGCCCCAAGTTAGCACATGGCTCAGCACAAGGTAATTTGTTCACCTGTGCTCTCTGCACAGTTCCCAGCCAGGTCACGTTCACCACAGCCTCACCAACTCGAGACAGTTCACATATCACTCAGCAGTCTGGGATCAAAGGATGGACCTAAGGTTTTATAACTGACCTCATGCTCCAATTACAAAAAGTGTTCGTGACCAGAAACAAAGGAGGAGGACAATGATGGTCATATTGCAAAATTTGCCATAGAGGTGCTCGCCCACTACACCCTGACTGTTCTCCAGCCAAGGCACAGCTTGGAGCCTGGGACACAGACCTCCAGCTCCTTCCAGTCCACCAGCTTGTCACCAGCAGGTCATTCCACCTCCAATCTGCACCTGCCTAGCCACAAAATGAACCAAAGGACAGTATCTGTCTTCAGGCATTTTGCAGTGACTGTAATAGCACAGCTTTACCCAAAACACATCAGACTTGCCCATGTCTCCAAAAATCTGTAGAACTGAAGATGGAACTGCTGGAACTGAACTTTATCTCTATCCTGATTTAAGGTTGATAACTAATGCATGATTTATTGTTCTCAACACTAATGGAAGCACTTTATAAATTTTCCTGTCTTCTAACAGGCCAGCTCACTTATCAGCCTCTGGCACTTAAAAAGGGAGACCAGGAGAGCATTGAAAGTTTGGAAAGGTACATTGCCATCAAACACTGCCCTGTTCTTCTAAAGGGTTAGATGTACTTCCTCATCAAAGGATTTTAGAGCTTTGGTGAAAAATATTTGAATTAGATATCAATGGACATTCTCACTTGAGCTAAATTCTCTTACTGCAATCACATCTCCACATACCTGGAGATCTGGAATGAATAAACATATTCCAGCCCTTGCAGTTTTCCTCTCTTTCATTCCCATGGTGGGGTAGAAGCCACAGTGAAAACTGGAAACTCCCGTTACCTAGAACTAATTCCAGACGCCTGGAACTGTTAAAAAACAAACTTGATCTATTTTCAAACACCATATCAACTAAGTACTGCTCTTGCCTATTCCTCGCCCACTATCCTCAATAATTAAGAAATGCTTGGGAACTGATGTCTGGGAACTTGCAAACACAAGAACTACTTGATTTCAGGAGTGAATGATGTCAATGGAGCTGATGAAGTCATGGCTGCATCACAAAAATGTAGCTAAAGACAACTAAGATCTCTAAGGATGTGTAAATCTGCACAGTAACATGACCACAAATCGGCACAGGTCTCAAAGAGTTGCTGCTGTGCTCAGAATTTGTGAATGAACAAGGAAATAGAAGCTTGTCTCAAAAAACCCAAAAGCTTCTAGTATGTACTTTTCGCTGGGGCCTCAATTCAGTCACTGATTTGGGTGACATTGCTGAGCTTTCAGCACTGGTGGAAGCTGAATTTTCCTTTCCAGTAGCAATCTCCTCCTCACAGCCATTCCAGGACTGCCCAGCACCCTTCAGGAACCTCAGACACTGTTTTGAGCTTGCTCCCTGCCTTAAGAGCCTTGCAATTCAAAGGTCCCAGCAGTAACCTGTGCCAGCAATACAGAAAGGAAAACTTGAATTAAACATCATGCAAGTGATTGACAGGAGAGCCTAAAGACCTGCTATGTCATAAACTGAAATGAAGAACAGTAAAACTAAACCAACCTCAAGAGGGATCTCCAGCAGACTCCCCTTCTTCCAGGGCACAATGCCTTTGAGAATGAAATCCACTACTTTAGAATTTTTTAATACTTCTCCCACAAATGTAATAACTTTATCCAGGGTATCAACCCTTTTCTCTATCTTTGCCAGCCTCTCCTTATGCTTGGAGGCATCTAGCTGGGCAGCTTTCATCAAATTCAACACTTCTGAGCACATGCTCTGCACATCAGCCTGGGCAGCACTGTCCGGTTCCTTCGGGCCCTCCTGCATTGCAGCTGTGCCACCAGGAGCTGCCTGGGATACTGTGAGCTTGTTAATGCCATTTCCTACAGCAGCAATGCCTCTGTCCACTTGCTGCAGTTTGCCTGTCAGGTCTTCTTGGAAATGCAGCAGTCTGTCCATCTTCTCATTCAAGAGATAGAGTTTTTTGTCCACCGTACTCAGACTGTTCACTTTTGGAGGCTGAAACTTGGTCAGGGCGTGTCCCTGCGCGAGGTCCAAGCTCCCCACAGACATTGTGTCCAGACAGCAGGAAGTCTGACAGATTAGGCTGCCTTTGCATTAATCATAAATTAGAAAATGAGGCTCTGAAAGTTCATTTTCTTCAGCTATTCCTACACCAGACAAGTTCACTTACTGGAGTCGCTAGAGCATATCGTGAGATAGCTACTGCACAAAAGATTTATTTCTGTGTTATCTATTTCTTACTGGGTGCTTTCAGTGATGGAGGCAATTTGGCACCAGACTGTGTTTTCTTGTGCCTTCTTGACGTCACAAAACCATTTAAAATTCTTTCTCGAGTGGCTGTTGATAGGCAAGCATCTTAACAATGGCCAATGCCAGCGCAGGCCTCTGGAGGGAGGGGGATTGTTTTCATGACCAGTTTTAGTTCTGTGATAATGAAAAGGTGCTAGAACATTTCCCTTCATTAAACAGGAGAAAAAATAAAAGTGAACTGGCTGGCCTTGTGCTGAAGCTTGGAAGAATTCAGCTCTGTAGCACGGATGCAGAACGTCCAGCATAGACACAGGGTGCTCTTTCAGCTGGCTGGCACTTGAATTTAAAAATAGAGTACAATGACAATGACCTGAAATACATATCTAGCACCAGCAGGTCTTTGTCAACTGAAACTTCTAAAATTAAATCTTTCTCCCAGGTTATAAAAATGAACCAAGAAAAAGAAATCATAATGAAGGCACAGCAGAATTAGTCTAACTATTGGCAATTAAATTATTAAATCATAAATCTTAAAGGATTTGTATTGATTTGCTTTTCACTTCTGAATCACAGCATATTTACTATACAAATTACAGTCACTAGAGAACAGAAAAAGTCACTTCACACTGCACAGGCTCCAGTGCCACAGCTCTGAATGCTTTAGAAACATTAATGAATGTACCCTCACAGCAGCACACAGAGGGGGAGTCAGCTCTCTGCCACAGAGGATGAACTGTGGCATCAAGAGAGAGCAGTTTGTCCCATGCCAGATGTGACCCTGTCACACGACTGTGTCGGGCTCTCCTGGGTCCCTCTGCACTGCTGAGTGCTGAGCAGGGAGGGAAACAATGGAACCACAGCAAAGCCTTTGGGATCCCCAGCACCCCTCTGCCTCCAGTCCCTTCCTCATTTCTTGTAAAGTGTATATGGAAAGAAAATGTCACTCTTAAAAGTGAATTTCCTGTATGACACAGAACATTCTAGACATTAAAACCCTTCCCACAGAGTAATAGCAGCATTAAAGTTCCCCTCTCAAGACAATATTGGATCCTTACCACTTCTGTAAGATAAGAATTTTTATTTACACTTTAAAAGAAGTATTACATCTACCAAGGCCATCATGTAATTATAGCCAACCTGGTGTTTCTGTGATATTTAGAGGCAAATAACCAGCTTTACCAAACACAGCCAAAGCTGTGAGCCTTGGACTGTTCATCACCTTCACAGA